CTCATGCGCCCTTTGTCAGCGTCGCAAGCTACCTACATCAACTCGAAGTGGACAATTACAACCGCTCCCGTGTCCCCTGCAACCATTCGAGGTAGTTGGCATTGACCTGTATGGTCCGCTTCCTATGACTGTCACGGGCAATCGATGGATAGTTACAGCTGTCGACCACCTGACCCGCTACGCCGAAACAGCTCCCATGCCTTCTGCATCAGCTTCGGAAGTGGCCGACTTCATCCTTCGAGCAATAATCCTTCGACACGGAGCTCCTCGTGTAATCCTGAGCGACCGTGGAAGAGTATTTCTTTCAGCACTCGTCGAAGAAGTGCTCAAGGCAGCCGGCACTACACACAAACAAGCTCCAGTTACCATCCTCAGACGAATGGCCTGACTGAGCGCTTCCATCGTACACTGTCAGATATGATTGCGATGTATATCGAACCCGACCACAGAAACTGGGACGCCGTTTTGCCATTTGTCACTTTTGCGTATAATACCTCTGTACAGCGCACAACCGGTTACTCGCCGTTCTACCTCGTCCACGGTCGCTTCCCCTCTTCTTTCCTCGATGTTTCGTTCTTCTCTGCGCCTGTCAAACCATGTTCATCTTCAAGTGAAGAATACGTGTCTCGTCTACTTCATTGCCGCCAGCTGGCTCGCGTCAGCACTGAAGCCAAGCAACAGGATCGCAAGCTTGAATATGATGCCTCTCATCGTGCCGTGTCTTTCAGCCCTGGTGACGAAGTCCTCCTTCTTACACCCATTCGCACTCCCGGACTGTGCGAGAAGTTTCATTTACGTTTTATTGGCCCCTACACTGTCTTGGAGCAAACATCTCCTGTGAATTATCGCGTGGCACCCGTTCTTCTTCCGACGGACCGCCGCTACAGGGCAGCAGAAATAGTCCACGTATCCCGCATGAAGCCTTTCATACGGCGTTCATCTTCGCTTTAAAATGCGGCCAAGAGCTGCGGTCAGGATGACCGCTTTCACGTGGGGGGGAAGTTAGTGTAGGCATTCATTAAGCACATCTACTTTCTTTACACATATTCATCATCATGAGTGGTCGTCATCTTCATCTGCTGTGGGGACTTGGCTTGTCTGAGTTCTGTGCCTTGGGCATGGTCGCTTCATCGTGTCTTCTGGGCCTAAAAAAGGTTGCCTTCACCGTTACATCACAGTATGTATGACTGCCATATCAGTCCGCTATGGAACGGCGCCTGCGCATCAGCCTCAAGCTGCCGCAATTCAACGATCGTGGCCACCCTCTCCATGACCAGCCATTCATCGACAACTGCGGGACCGTGACGTCATTCACCACAAGAAGTAAAAAGCCACTACCCGAGGATCTTTCTTCAGTGGGCTAAGGTGCAGCAGCGACAGCACGATGTTTAATCGTTGCTTGCTTTTCATGCAGTGTTTCGCTGGTCTTGTTGATCTCAACTTCTGGGACGTCACGAGCTATGACACCGGTTCGCATGGTTCTGCCCAGTCATTTCTGGCTGGGCACGTGGACGTCACCGAGTGTTTGCCATGGGACTGCCATATCAGTCCGCTATGGAACGGCGCCATCGCATCAGTCTTCAAGCTGTCACAATTCAACGATCGTGGCCACCCTCTACTTGACCAGCCATTTATCGTCAACTGCGGGACCATGGCGTCATTCACCACAAGAAGTATAAAGCCACTACCCGAGGATCGTCTCTTCAGTGGGCTAAGGTGCAGCAGCGACAGCACGATGTTTAATCGTTGCTTGCTTTTCATGCAAGTATGTTACCTTTCCAATGCTGAATGCATTCGATCTGATGATCGCGTTCTGTTGCTGCTGCCTTGCCCACGTAGAGTTTTTTTATGCCACGTGTTATATTGCAAAAGCCGTCTCGTTCTGATTGGTGATGTGGAACTAAATCCAGGGCCTTTGAATAAGTCGGTGATTACCAGTAAAGGCAATACTTCTGGTAATAGACCTGTAACCCGAAACGCTAGCTGGTTGCAATGCTCTCGACGAGGTTACTCATGCACCCTCTACTTCCGTACCTGTTGACACTGGCGCTTCATTATCTCTGAAATGTTATCTAAACTTTTGGAGGGGCAAACTATGCTAGCTCATGATATTGCCGACATCAAGTCATTTCAACAGACGGTCGCCTGCCGTTTTGATGATTTAGAATCACGTGTTAATGCATTAGAACGGGCTCCCAAATCTAATTGAGCATAATTCTGTGAGTGAATTTCGTTCTGAAATAAATTGCTTAACTTCTAAAATTAATAAACTGGTCTTGAAACGATGTCTTAGAAGATCGTCACAAGGCGTAATTAATCTGATAATACACGGTATTTCAGAAAGTCAAAATGAAAACGCTGGCACCCTGTAGTGCAGCGTTACTTCTGTATTCACTAATAGCAGAGTCCTTCAATGCTTTTCTGGTCACGAAACTCCGCCGTCACTCTATGGGAGAGCTTCATACGCTGCCCGAAACTGCCGCGATGCGGCGCCACTGTGCCACAGAGGGCATCGTTCGGGCTGCTCGCGTACTGAAACAGACTGAAACGCGTGCGCACAGCGAGACAAACTGGTGGAAGAAGCGTGCGTGCGTGTCCGAGTTAGCCAAAATGTTGTGAGACGACAATGCCTAACACGTGTTGCGTGCCGGGGTGCCGTTCCGGCTACAGAGGAGCGACCGAGAAGGTGTCGTTGTTTTCTTTTCCACCTGACAACGACCAGCGCGAGAAATGGAAACGGGCCATACCGCGGCAGGAAAGTGGCGACTTCAACTTTGAGTCCAAATATACACGTGTGTGTGCGAAGCATTTCGACGCCTCGGACATTGTCACTACTTATGATTTCAATATCAACGGCGACGCCGTGTCCCTGGAGCGCGACAAGCCAACGCTGAAGGCTGACGCTGTCCCAAGTATTTTTGGTGGCCTTCCTTCGTATCTCACGAAGCGTAAACCTCGACCCCGCTCATCGACAAATCGATCACCGCGCAAACAAGCACGTGAGTCGTCGTGCGAGACGGAGGAGCAACGAGCATCGCCGACGACGTGTTCAGACCGCACCGATGCTGCATCAGTGAATGAAGGTATGTAAGCGCTAGGCCAGATTACATCCGTGTCGCCGTGTATGAGGGTATCGTCTGAGCCGGTAAATTTGAAACTGCATGACTTGTTTTTCTTCACTCCTTTTCTTCTTCTTTTTTTTCTTTTTTAGCAGGTGTGGCACTGACCAGTGAAACGGTCTAAACCTACCACACGGACACAGCTTGTCAGACAGACCGCTTGGTTGACTGCGCCAGCTGTGCATCAGTGCAAAATTTGAGGTGCCAACTTCGAGCTGCGAAGCAGCCGCTTCGGCAATGCCAAACAAAACTCGCCGAGTTCCGAAAGAAGACTGCCAAGTACGAACGACAACAGCAGAGCCTTCAAAGACTTTCCGATCGCGAGAAACTGATTATCGATCAGTGCGTGATGAAGGCAAACGCGAAGTCTGCAAGAGCCGTACAGTAAGCTTCAAGCACTACTTAACGAATATGGTTTACGTGTAAAGGCGATGGAATATTCACGTGCTAATTTTAGATTTTCACCAAATTAAAAGCTACATATCCGTTGTTTTCTGAGCAAGTGTCGGCTCCATTCAAAATCAGCTAAGGGTTCAAAACTACCATGAAATACGTTTTCTGCTTGAGTCCACCTTTACTGCGCTGACTCTAATACTTTAAATCATGAAACAATGATTTCGTTCATATAAAAAATGTGCCCTTTTTAATACTACGAGTGGCTTATTCACACCCTCGTAACCATGTTATCGTGATGTGTTGATCTTTTTTTCGCACCTTACTGCTATTGTTTTGAGCACGTTTATAAACAGACAGTGAATGATTGTTCTTATGCGCAGTTTCGTTGAAAACTTGGAGATCCAATGTGCACTTATTTTCTCTATTAATTGTTCTGGATTGCGAATGCACCATAGATCTGTGTCATTTATAGTGGCCTGCCCTCATTATGAAGGTTTTGGCCTGCATGTTGATCAGGTTTCCACTGTGTACACAGTGCAATGTGCATGTTCACATTACCCCTTGGCATGCAGTTACACTTGGTTAACAGCAATGTGTCTTTATGCTTGATAGCATTATGGAAGCACTGTGCTAGCATGTTTGTGCATGTGAATGAGATTTGCACCCTTTCCTTACCAGGTATAAGAAAGACTGGTTATATGACTGCCTGCTTTTGAAAACGAAGTCCACATCTGTGTATACATATCTCCAAGAGAACAACTTTCTACCCTTGCCAAATCCACGCACACTCTACTGCTATATGAAGAGCTTGAAAGCCGATTTTGGCTTTGATGCGCATGTATTTACTGTGCTCAAGGAAAAGCTGCTCACTTCCCCTGAAAGTGAACGACGAGGTTTGAAATCACATCACTTAACCTGAATGCTGTGTGGTTTTGCCTTTCTGAAGTGATAGAAATTATTTTTTTTCTTTCAGGTGTGCTCATGTTTGACGAAATGAGTGTCAGGAAAAGTTTGCACGTCCGAGAGTCTGACATGAAAGTCGTTGGTAAGGTTGACCTTGGAGAACATACCAGGCCAGCAGACCGTGAAAAAGATGCTGATCATGTTTTGGTCTTCCTGTTTCGACCCTTTCTGGGGGGATGGTCGCAGACTGTGGGTACCTTTTATGCATCAAGTGCTGCCCCGGGATCAATACTTGCAAAGCTTGTGCTTCAGTGCATTGTACACTTGTGTACTGCTGGCGCAGTTATAGATGCTGTGACATGTGATAATTCAACTACCAATCGGTGTGCCTTGAGGTCCTTATGTAAGTGTTTAAAACACAAGCTCTGCTGCAGACTATCTGGAAAGGTATAATTTATTAGTTGCTCATTTCTTTCAGGAATTCGTGGTTACATGAAAGACCAGCAGGTGTCGCTTCAGCACCCATGCGACCCCTCTAAGGTGATCTATGCTATCATTGATCCACCACACTTATTTAAATGTATTAGAAATAACCTGCAGAAAGTTGGGAAGTTTTTGGTAAGTGAAATAATTACTGTTCCTGTGATATAGTCACTCATATGATCTCATCTCGAGTGACATTCTGACATTCCTTCTTTCTATAGCTGCCTCAAGGTCGGGAAGTGTATCATGATCATTATGCAGCACTTCTAGAGTATGAAGAGCAACAGTCAGGGCTGCGTGCTGTACCAAAGCTGACGAGGGCACATATATACCCAAACGCTTTTCAGAAAATGAGCGTCAAACTTGCTGTTCAAGTAAGGTGCCCAACACTCAAGTGCACTTAGAAAACAAAAAAAAAATTGCCTTTTTGATGTGACTCACAGTGAAATGCGATACAAAAAATTTCTTTTCAGCTCTTCAGTGAATCCACAGCTACAGCCATTATATTTTACATTGAGCAGGAATCATGCAAAAAGCTTCACGGGTCTGCGGGAACATCTGAATTCACCAGACAAATGAACAGATTGTTTGACTGCTTGAACTCCCGCAGGCCTGAACACGTGCAGTACAGTGAAGCTGAGCATGTTGACGTAAAAATTATTACTTTGCTCTTGCACACATTTCTGATCTCAGGCTAAATTCTTTCTTACTTTATAGACACTGAAAGAGAGAATCTCATGGTTGGACAGGTGCTGCAAATACATCGAAAGTCTGCCAAAGCAAAGGCAGGTATGCTTTTTAAGCAAGCCCACCTGTGAGGCGCTGAGAATAACTTTGCTCAGCACAATATCACTGGTTGAAAACCTCCTTGCCTCAGGGTTTCGCTACTTACTGGTGGGAAAGTTTGGACAGGACCCATCAGAGGTAAGCATGTGCACGTTCTCGCTTGATAGTTAAATAGTAATCCTTATTTTTTCTTTCAGAGATTTTTTGGCATTATCAGGCACGTGGCTGGTGACGGAGGACAACCAACAGTCCAGCAATTTCTGTTCATTTATAGAATGCTCTCTGTCAGAAATCTTGTCCAGCCGCCTCAGCGAGCATCAGTTGTAGGAGACGGCCCACAACTCCTCCTGAAGCTCCAAGACCTATTCCAGAAGGAAAAACCTGCTGCCTGTCACGTGAGCAAGAATATATTAACAGGGGTTGAAAGGGTAGAAATCTGAGCCAGATGGTAAGAATTCGTCAGGGAAAACAAAATGAAAAAAAAGTGCAGGCAAGGAAGAACACAGTACAAACACTTTGCGGAGTGATATCTCCTGAATAGGATGAAACTGATCAAAGCGTATTAGTTCTTTAACTAAGTTTTCAGGATATTTTTTAGGCTGCATGCATTTAGGTGTGAATTTTCTCATTTCTAGCCACACTAAGCTGTATGAGCATTACATATGTGCCAGGGGACTGTGCAGTGCAGGCCGTATCAAAGATTTTGCAGCCATTAATTTGGAGAAGCCGAGCTGATTTCTGATAAAGCCTGGATTTCGTCATACAAAAGGTGTAAAGCAATATTAGGCATTCAGTACATATTTTTCGTTCGGTGCACTTTCTATGTTCAGCACACCAGCAATACAGTGTTTGCATTTCAGGCGGACTGTTTGGCTATTCTCTTTGATGAAGAACTTTTGGAGCCAGGAGAAACTGTGGAGCAGGCTTCACTTTTGCAACATCAGCAGTCTCCTAAGGAGAAGATCTTGGACTACCTCGATGGATACGTTGCAAAGAAGTTTTCCTCGCTGAGATGCTCAAGCTGCGTAAAAAGTCTGAGGAGTTCAGAACGACCGGCAACTGGCCTGATTCTTGTTAAGTCTAAAGGTTTTCTCCTTGTGTCCTCCAGCCAGCTCGTCACACTCCTTCAAATTGTGGAGGATCACATGGAAGCGCACACAGTTGAAAAAACTGCTTGTTATGGTGTGTACATGAATATTGTGGAGGATGTTTTGATGGACCCTCGGACTGCTCCAGCTGCTGTCGGTTGCAAGTCACATTTTGTGAGCACGACTGCAGAAGTTGTTCAGTTTTTTCTCAAGGTGCGTTTGCATTTTTTTACGAGAGAAAGAAACAAACAGATGCAAGCGAAAGGGTGCGCTTCATGTCCAGCAGGGGGTGGTAAAAAACCGAACACTCAAAGGTAACTCTGCACCCAATCCATATCTCACATATGTTGTTGCCCATTCTTCACTTTTTTTAATTAGCTTTTCATGAACTGGTGCACTGGTGTTCTGTGTATGTGGTTTGTTTTAAATAAAATTAATAAATGGTTGTGTTTGCATATTGCTTTCGCACAGGCACCTTGTATGTATTTTTCTTGTTGAATTATTTTTTTCCTTCTGACACTGACAACAATATTAGCATCGATGATTGGAATATCTTAACCCCTCGTATATAGTCGGCCATTACAAGAATCAAAATAACTTCTTGTCTGTTTTGGCCAAAATCACGAGCGGCTTAAGTTACTGGTTTACTGTCTCTTCCATATGAGACTGCTTATAAAACAATGACCTAATTACAATACACTGTCAACTGTGTTCGACCTTACTTTTCACGTTCGTCATGATCATAAACAAAACGTCGCACCGGTTGACTGATGGGGTTTTACGTCCCAAAACCAGCTGTGATTATGGCAGACGCCCCGTGCTGGAGGGCTCCGGAACAAATTTGACCACTTTAACGTGTACCAAACTCCAAGTACACTGGCCTCAACATTTCGCCTCAACCAAAACGCAGCCGCCGCGGCCGGGATTAGATCTCGCAACCTTCGGATCTGTAGCCGGGTGCCATAACCGCTAGAACACCGTGGCGGGGCAACACGCCGCACCGAAGACTGCTATGAGGTTAGTATTGCTGGCATTTAAGGACTCCGATATTACATATATTGTACCTAAGGCTCGTAGAGGGATTTGATCGTTCGGTCCAGAAATTTGAAGCGCATAGAACAGGTGTTTTTTTTCTTGTCATGAAAAGAAGGCATTCTACGGAAGCATTTCTTGCAGTAATGGTTTAATTGTGTGGGTTTTCTGTTGCGAATAAAATGACACCAGGAGTCTGATAATGTTCACAGTTTAATAGAAATTGAGCGGCCGTGCCGTGCGAACCATCTGGCCTTATGCGCAACTTTGCGCAGTCGAGAGATTTCGCTCACTTCCGAGCGAATGGACGTGTAACAACTCATACGTTCGCCTCTGTTTACATGTGGCACAGCAAGTGCGTTATTGCGAATGTACAGTGTCTGACTTCAGGCAAATTTTGAAAAGCTGGACCAGTTGCAGTATTGCGACGAACGAGCGGCGCTCCCCCAACCCTGACGGCTGCATTTTGACGAGGCGAAACGCAAGAGCAGAAAAAAGGCGTGCAATTTGGTTTACATGCATATAAAAACAACCCCAGCTGTTAAACATTAATCAAGAATCCCCCACTACGACGTGTATCAAAATCATATCATCGTTAAAGTGCGGCAAACCCCGAATTTTTGTCATTTTCGACTGCGACTGCCGCGAGCTGCTTGTCCAGAGCTGTTAGTTTCTTTTCTCCCGGGTGCTCATTTCAAGGCAGACGGCGCGTTCACGCAGTCACCGACGCACGCTGAATGTTCCAAGTAAATGAGGGAAAGTGAAACGACTTTTGCAGAAGTTTAGAAAGCTTGGAAATCAAAGCAGACCAACACACTACCGCAGCGGTAGCGGACGGCAGCATGCCCTCACAAGCACAGCTGCGCCCCTAGCGGCCAGTGCTGGCTCTATATGAAGCTGAGGCGGCACTTTCGTGACCAGAAAAGCATTGAAGGACTCTGCTAATAGCCTGAAAATTGCCTGCCCTCAAATCGAGCACATACACAGGCTTGGTAAACCACGTACTGGCTACACACGACCCATTATTCTGAAGCTTTCGAACTTTGGTGAAACATTCGTTGTCCTAAAAAATGCATCTAAACTCAAAGGCTCAAACGTGTTTATTACAGAATACTTCTCTGCGCGGATTAGACTCATTCGGAAAAGAATTTGGGAGGCATCACCTCCCTTTCGCAATGATGGCTCTGTGGTGAAGTTAAAATACGATCACGCGTTCATTGACAAGGTTTGTTACAACTGGGACGACGCCTCAAACACACTAGTGAAAGTCTCAGGTCAACCCCATGGCCCTCGTTCTTCGGTCCCCACGTCCTCAAATGCCTCTTCATCCAATCCCTGACCTCGTTATAACCGTCAGGAACACCTTGTAATTCTAAACGTTCATGGTCGTGGCATAGTTAAGAAACTTGCAGATCTATTGTCCCTTGTTGCAACATATTCCCCTCATGTTGTTGGCATTACTGAGCGTTGGTTACATAGTAACGTTTACGATTTGAGTTTACTCCGCTTGGCTTTATTACCATACGTAATGACAGGGCACATGGCATTAGCTGTGGCGTCGCTCTACTTATGCGCTCAGATATCCGCTTTTTGGTGTTGCCATCACCTCCAGAGACTGAATCCCTGTGGTGCAAAATTTATCTAAATAATCAATGTATTGTAGTTAGCGTTATATATCGCCACCTGGATCCTCCCTTGATGTTCTTCATGCTCTTTCTAATTTCATGTGCCATATTATTATAGCTTCATCAAGGTTGATCTGTATGGCTGATTTTAATGCTCTTGACATCGATTGGCCTTCCCTCACTGTAACGGGTAGTGATGCTGCTATCTGTCATGAATTAATAAATATTTCTTTATCTTCTGGGCTTACTCAAGTCGTTTCATGTGTGACTAGGCTTAATTCTATTCTGGGTTTAGTTTTCCTAAGTACAGATTTAGCTGATAATAACCTTTCTTGCGAGGTAATTGACGGACTATCAGACCATAAAGGTGTCTTGCTATCACTTTGTTGTCCCACGTCCAAATCACCCTATACGTTCACTAGTTTCTCTGATTTCACTCGTGCGGATGACAATTCGAATACTGATATTCTAGCAGATCATTTTGATACGTTTTGTGCACTTTCTGACCGGCAGGATATAGATTACCTCGTTAATTACTTTGAGGATTTTGTTAAGTCATGTGTCCTGAAGATTTGTGCTACTCAAGACAAAGAAAAGCAATACTAATTTTTCTTGGATCACTCGTGACATCTTACATTTGTCTCGCCGTGTCCGTCGACTTAGGCGCTCCGGAAGAACTCACGATCCCATTAGCCTAGACAAAGTTCAGAAGGCGAAAAGTGAACTTAATTCTAAAATGAGAACGGCGAAAGATTTTTTTTTCGCGTCCAGTTGCCGGGGATGTTAAGCACGAACCCACGCAAATTTTGGTATTCGATTTTGCCTCATGATGCCTCACCTTCTTCTTTCAGAATTGATACCCCGCAGGGGCCGCCTGCGCAAATAGGCGTTTGGTGTGTAGCGACACCACGGACCCGAGCTAACGGGGGGTTTCGACTCCCTCCCACGCCTAGCCGTGCGTGGCTTTGC